GACCTTACAGAGTCAACAGTTGCTAAACAACTCTGAAAAAACCTATTTTTGGTGTTTTAGGCATTTTAAGCAGTTTAAGAACTATTTTAGTGCTTGCAATGTTATCCTTCCGCTGCTTTAATTTGTTTTGTTTTTTTACTGTGTTTAAAATTGATTTCCTATTTAATTATGTTATTTTTTATCCTAATTTTTAAAATACACTTTATACTATCCAAAGAAGTTTCATTAGTGGACGTGGGGTTTTCTAGTAAAGCTGAATGACAGTGTCGTGAAATGATGGATGTCTAAAAAGTGTGTCACCAACAACATGAAATGTTTACAAAGTTCTGTTCTCGGTCCTCTAATGTGCTTCTCTATTCAGCTTCCAACAGAAGTTGGCCATAGAGTCGTCCTGAAGACCTATGATAAACAGTAAATCCTAGAAGGGTTTGGTGGGCAATGACCTTGAGTTTTGGAGTAGAAGTTCACCTACATCCAGAGAGCATTGCGGATTCAAACAATGATGGATCTGGACCAAACTTGACATGAATACTCAGTATGTCCAGATGTGAACACTGGTGGAGTTTGGGGAAAATAGACCTTGACATTTGGAAGTTGCAGTTGCTGGGATTTATAGTTTACCTACAATCAAAGAACATCCTGAAACTCACCAATGATAGAATTCTGCCAAACTTCCCACACAAAACCTCCATGACCAACAGAAAATACTGTGTTTTCTGATGGTCTTTGGAGACTCCTCTGTGACACCCGCTCACAACCTCCCCCCATGTCCTGACTCCCAGGTTGAGAAATGCTGATTTAGAAGGTCTTGAACTTTCTCTGCCAAAGAGTCCTGGTGTCTCATCAACCTATGAATGTCAGGTTTCCATAGCATTTAGTTAAAAGTGGTGTCAAATTGGATTATTTCTGCAGCATAGATGCAGAAGTGTGAAGGTTGATTTGCTCTAACACCCACTCATTTGACTTTTTCTACTCCAGAGTAAACACCTTCACGGAAAAGGCAAATATTCCCAAATAGTGGTAAAACATATCTGTAAGAAACGTAATAAGTTACAAATAAAGGGAATGTATAGTTTGCTCAAGTCCACAGGATGGTCAGATTGAGAACCCTTTGCTGGTGCCATGTGGCAAAGAGTCGCTCTGACTCTTCCTGAGCAAACAGGGTCTTCGGTTTTGCTTAACCTGGTGGACATAACATCAGTGGGCTGTTTTTGCCGCGCTAATGATTAACTACATTATATTAACAGCGTGATGCAGCCAAAGGCACACTCTGAGGACCACATTGCATATTGATTGTTAGCCTCATGATGGATAAAAGTCATTATGAATTAAATATGGACAAACCAGTCCACAGATCTATGGTGAGAGAAAGCAAAACAAGGAAAGAGATCCAAAGTGAAACAAATGCTGGTCTTAACATTGGAGTAATATTGACACGCCACCCAGAACTGGACCTCACGACATTGGAGACCTGTCCTTGAGATGGAACACGGAGTGCTTGATCGTCCTGCTTTCAGAAATGCAAAGTTAAACAGGACTGTTATGTTGAAATGTGTTTTCGAGATAATGAAAAGACAGTGTGAGGCCCCTTCTACACTGACATATAATCCAGTGTAGATGGGGCCTTTTTCTGTCTTGACCTGGCATGGGGCAACTTGGGCCCTCCAGGTGTTTTGGACTCCAACTCCCACAATTCCTAACAGCCTCAGGCTTCTTCTTCCCCCCCCCCAGCCGCTTAAGCTGTTAGGAATTGTGGGAGTTGGAGTCCAAAACACCTGGAGGGCCCATGTTGCCCCATGTCTGGTCTTGACTCATATATGTGCAAAAGTGGGCACTGTAGCATAAATAACAGGAGCCTTAAGCATGATCTACACTGCCCTTTACCCCAGGATCTGATACCAGATTATCTGCTTTGAACCGGATTATATGAGTCTCCATCCGGGATCAGATTCTGGGATATAGGGCAGTGTAGAAGGAGCCTACGCCTCTATATAATCCAGTTCAAAGCAGATAATTTGGATTTTATATAGCAGTGTAGAAGGGGCCTCGGTCTGGGCTGTTTCCCAAGGTCGCCCTTAGGATAAAGCACAAGAAGAGCCACATATGCAACACTGCTTTGGGCACCTTTAAGGTAAGAGAGGATATACAATCAATGTTTTGCAAGTCATTCAGTTTACTGGGTTACATGTCACAGGGAATCTGCCAAGTCACCTCTTAAAACTGCCCCAAGAGTTTACATTAAATTAACTATTGTGGAAGTGAGAAGTAAAGGAGGAGTCCTGCCCTTCTCGGCAAGTTCAGGTAAAAGAAACCACTACAGGATGGACTGACTTGCCAGTTCTGACTCATTATTAGCTTATGATGATGATAGAATCATAGAATCATAGAGTTGGAAGAGACCTCATGGGCCATCCAGTCCAACCCCCTGCCAAGAAGCAGGAAAATTGCATCCAAAGCATCCCTGACAGATGGCCATCCAGCCTCTGTTGAAAAGCCTCCAAAGAAGGAGCCTCCATCACACTCTGGGGCAGAGAGTTCCACTGCTGAACAGCTCTCACAGTCAGGAAGTTCTTCCTAATGTTCAGATGGAATCTCCTATTTTCCTGTAGTTTGAAGCCATTGTTCCGCATCCTAGTCTCCAGGGCAGCAGAAAACAAGCTTGCTCCCTCCTCCCTATGACTTCCTCTCATGTATTTATACATATCATGTCTCCTCTCAGCCTTCTTTTCTTCAGGCTAAACATGCTCAGCTTTTAAGCCGCTCCTCATAGGGCTTGTATTCCAGAACGTTGATCATTTTAGTCGCACTCCTCTGGACACATTCCAGTTTATCAATATCTCTCTTAAATTGTGGTGCCCAGAATTGGACACAATATTCCAGGTGTGGTCTAACCAAGGCAGAATATAGGAGTATCATGACTTCCCTGGATCTAGACACTGGACTCCTATTGATGCAGGTCAAAATCCCATTGGCTTTTTAAGCTTCTGCATCACATTGTTGGCTCATGTTTAACTTGTTGTCCATGAGGACTCCAAGATCTTTTTCACATGTATGCCTGTGTTTTCATCTCTGACTTGTTTCAGCATATATTTATGTTGTCTTTAGTACAGTGTTTCTCAACCTTCCTAATGCCGCGACTCCTTAATAGATTTCCTCATATTGTGGAGACCCCCAACCATCAAATTATTTTCATTGCTACTTCACAACTGTAATTTTGCTAATGCTATGAATCGTAATGTAAATATCTGAGATGCAGGATGTATTTTCATTCACTGGACCAAATTTGACACAAATACCCAATACGCCCAAATTTGAACACTGGTGGGGTTGGGGAAAGGGGTTCATTTGTCTTTTGAGTTGTAGTCCCTGGGATTTGTAGTTCACCTACAATCAAGAGCATCGTGATCTCCACCAACGATGGAATTAAACCAAACTTGGCACACCAAACTCCCATGACTAACAGAAAATACTGGAAGGGTTTGGTGGGCATTGACCTTGAGTTCTGGAGTTGAAGTTCACCTACATCCAGGGAGCACTGTGGACACAAACAATGGTTGATCTGGACCAAACTTGGCGCAAATACTCAATATGCCCAAATGCGAGCACTGGTGGAGTTTGTGGAAAATAGACTTGACATTTGGAAGTTGTAGTTGCTGGGATTTATAGTTCACTGACAATCAAAAAGCATTCTGAACCCCACCAATGATAGAATTGGGTAAAACTTCCCACTCAGAACCTATGACCAACAGAAAATATTATGTTTTCTGATGGTCTTTGGCAACCCCTCTGACACCCCCTTGGTTACCCCCAGGGGTCCCAACCCCCAGGTTGAGAAACACTGCTTTCGTAGACTATTATTATTATTATTATTATTATTATTATTATTATTATTATTATTATTGTATTGTCGAAGGCTTTCATGGCTGGAATCACTAGGTTCTTGTGGGTTTTTTCGGGCTATAGAGCCATGTTCTAGAGGCATTTCTCCTGACGTTTCGCCTGCATCTATGGCAAGCATCCTCAGAGGTAGTGAGGTCTGTTGGAATTAGGAAATGGGTTTATATATCTGTGGAATGGCTGGGGTGGGGCAAGGAGCTCTTCCCTGCTGCAGTAGGTGTGAATGTTTGGCTGATCACCTTCATTAGCATTTGAAGGCCTGCCTGAGCCTGGGAAAATCTCTTGCTGGGAGGTGTTAAGATGTGCCTGGTTGTTTCCTTTCTGTTGTTTTGCTGTTGTAATTTTAGAGTTTTTTAATACTGGTAGCCAGATTTTGTTCATTTTCATGGTCTCTTCCTTTCTGTTGAAATTGTCCACATGCTTGTGGATTTCAATGGCTTCTCTGTGTAGTCTGACATGGTGGTTGTTGGTGAGGTCCAGCATTTCTGTGTTCTCAAATAATATGCTGTGTCCAAGCTGGTTCATCAGGTGCTCTGCTATGGCTGAAGGGAAACTACTATCAGAGGAGTGGCACTGAGCCCCGCCCGCCTGGAGTGGGCGTGGCTTGCGTTCGGGGGCGTGGCCACCTCACTTTTTCCACCCCCTGAAGAGCAGAATGGGCGGAACCGCAGGAGCAGAACGCCCCGCCCCCTACTCGGGATGGGCGTGGCCTTGTCGGAAAGTAAACAGTACCAGAAGGGGCGTGGCTTAGGGGAGAGGCGTGGCCACTCTGAGAAGTAGGAGAAAGGGAAAAGTGGGCGGTGCCAAGGGAATCGAGGCCCCGCTCAAGTGGGCGTTGAGTGGCAGACACCCAGAGAGGGAGGAAAAGGCTTGTCTTTGAGTGGGCGTGGCTTGGCCGCAGTGTCACTTTTCTAACCCTCGTGAGAGGCAGAACGCCAAGAGAGAGGGAGAAAGTGGGCGTGGCTTAGCAGCCAGCTCGCCTCGGAGTAGGCGTGGCTTAGCAGTAGTGGGCGTGTCCTAACTCAGTGAGAGGCGGTGCTGGAGGAGCCGAGGCCCCGCCTAAGTGGGCGTGGCTTGTGTCACTTTCCCAACTCCGTGAGTGACAGAAACTCAGAGCGGGAGGAAAAGGCTTCCCGGGGACGCAGGTTTGCCGGCTCTCCGAGTCCGTTTCGCGCTGCTCCTTCGGGTGTTTCCGTCGCTCCGGCCCGATGTCTTCGGTACAGGTGCTTTACCCGCCGAAGCTCCACCACGGCGTCCTGAGCCCGGCCTTCCCTAAGGCTGACATGACTCCGGGTAAGGATAGCATAGCAGCACCTCATCCCTAATCAGATTGGGGTCCATCTACACTGTGGAATTAACGCAGATTAGTATCGCTTTAACTATATCGACTCAATACTGTGTCATCTTGAAAAGGTGTGATTTAACAACACTTTTAGCTTCTCCAGACTACACTTCCCACTGATTCCATAACATTGCACCATGGCAGTTCAAGCGGTACCAAACTGCGTTAATTCTACCGTGTAGATGCACCTGTGGCTCTCAATTTTTTGCTTCAAGGCATGCTGGCTACCTTTGCAAAGTGTTTATTTACTGACCCACAGGGAGGAGGGGAGGAATTTCTCTCTCTTGACAAAGTTTAGGAGATTTCCATTGCCTTGCCTGTTGCCAACCTATGGAAAGAGCCGCAGACTTGCCAGCGCAAGTGCTGCCACCCACTGGCAGCCGGTGGTATTGCACCTCATTCCTCACTCGTGCCTTTCAACTTTATAAAGGCAAGAGCGAGGACTGAGGCGCAATGCCGCCTTTAAAGGGACAGAGACCTAGAGCCTGGCCCTTTAAGATTTAAAGGGACAGACTCCAGAGGCCAACCAATTTGTAGAGCAGGCATGGGCAAACTTGGGCCCTCCAGGTGTTTTGGACTCCAACTCCCACAATTCCTAGCAGCCGGTAGGCTGTTAGGAATCGTGGGAGTTGGAGTCCAAAACACCTGGAGGGCCCAAGTTTGCCCATGCCTGCACTACACTGTAGAATGAATGTAGATTGATACCACTTGAACTGCCATGGATCACTGCTATGTTATCCTGGGATTTGTAGTTTGATGAGGCCCCAGCACTCTTTGGTAGAAATGGTTAGAGACCCTGTAAAACTACAACTCCCATTATTCCAGTGGTGTCAAACTGCATTGATTATACAACATATAGATGTACCTTTGGGAAGTGATTTTAACTGATTGGTAAGTTTAATTCTAGGGTGTTCCAAAAAGTTTTTTGTACATAGGAAACAAACACATCCTTTATATATATGTTATATTATTATTATTATTATTATTATTATACTTGCAGATGTACAACACACAGGGAATATTTTGCAATTATATTATTATTATTATTATTATTATTATACTTGCAGATATACAACACACAGGGAATATTTTGCAAATATTTTATTATTATTATTATTATACTTGCAGATGTACAATGCACAGGGAATATTTTGCAAATATATTATTATTATTATTATTATTATACTTGCAGATATACAACACACAGGGAATATTTTGCAATTATATTATTATTATTATTATTATTATTATACTTGCAGATGTACAACGCACAGGGAATATTTTGCAAATATTATATTATTATTATTATTATTAAACTTGCAGATGTATAATGCACAGGGAATATTTTGCAAATATTATATTATTATTATTATTATTATTATTATTATACTTGCAGATGTACAACGCACAGGGAATATTTTGCAATTATATTATTATTATTATTATACTTGCAGATATACAACACACAGGGAATATTTTGCAATTATATTATTATTATTATTATACTTGCAGATATACAACACCACACAGGGAATATTTTGCAATTATATTATTATTATTATTATTATTATTATTATTATACTTGCAGATGTACAACACACAGGGAATATTTTGCAAAGATTATATTATTATTATTATTATTATACTTGCAGATATACAACGCACAGGGAATATTTTGCAAAGTTTTGTAATTAATATTTTGTAAATAAGGCTACCATTTCTCATTTTCCCTATGAATGTTCGACTTTTGAGATACTTGTATTTTCACTTTATATGTTGCTGTTTTTAAATTGCATTTTAAAATGTTGTCTCAACCAAGAGAGAAAAGCAGAGTGCAGTTGTTGTTGTTGTTTGTATATATATTTTGCACATATTGAGATGAAGAGGGCAGGAAAAAAAGGAGGAAATGGCATATTCTGGGTTCTTTGTAGCTCCAGGGGTTTGGATTGAGGACCCCAGTGGATACCAACATACTTGAATAGTGAAGTCCTGTTATATTTGTGTTTGTGTCTCATTGTATGTTATTGCAATGAGGCATTGAATATTTGCATGTGTCTGCTTGTATACTGTAATCCGCTCTGAATCCACTTGGGGAGAAGGGCAGCATATAAATAAATTATTATTATTATTATTATTGACACAAAAGCACAGTATGTCACAGCAAACGAGATCTATATGCTGGATTTCGTATCACAAAATCACAAGTCGAACACTTCCCAAGCGTCTAGGACTGTGTTGTTATTATTATTATTATTATTATTATTATTATTATTATTATTATTATTTATGGTGTAGGTCAAATGATCTCCTTTATATAAAATGACAAAATTAAAGTTTACTTTTTGATTTTTAAAAATATTTTCAAGCCATGGATGGTTGAATCCATGGATACAGAAAGCTGGCTCTATTGTATTCCCTCAGCAGATCCCCTGTTTCCCCATAGGCCCTATGGATTGTTTTGTGGTTGAGAAAACAGAAAGTTTACCAGGGGGGTAGCTAGACTTGTACCTGCTAACCACTATTATCACATAACTTCACCATACCATAATTTGACTGGCACATGGCATAATCATTTTAGTAACTGTAACAACAGCCCTGCAAGGTAGGCCAGCGATACTGTCCTAAGGTTGAAGGATGATGAGGTAGAGATTCAAGAGAAAGGGAGAAATGGATCTGAGAGAGTTACTTATATGTTTGAATGGTTTTAAACTGTGAATTTTAATACTGTTTATGTTCGTTATATATGCTATTTGATTCATACTCTTTTAGTATGTTGTGAGCTGTTTTGGGTCCCGTTTAGCAGGATATAAATAAAGATTTATTGAGCCCCCAGTGGCGCAGTGGGTTAAACCGCTGAGCTGCTGAACTTGTTGACCGAAAGGTCACGGGTTCGAATCTGGGGAGCATCGTAAACTCCTGCTGTCAGCCCCAGCTTCTGCCAACCTAGCAGTTTGAAAACATTTAAATGCGAGTAGATCAATAGGTACCACTCTGCCGGCCACATGACCTTGGAGGTGTCTACGGATAAACCCGGCTCTTCGGCTTAGAAATGGAGATGAGCACCAACCCCCATAGTCGGACACGACTGGACCTAATGTCAGGGGAAAACCTTTACTATTATCATCATCATCATTTAACTTTTTTCTAATGTTTGTATGTTTTGATATTTCAAATTGTGTGCTAATGCTTTTATGTTAAACTGTTTTGAGTCACCTTTGGGAGAGATAAAGCAGAGTATTTATTATTATTATTATTATTATTATTATTATTATTATTATTATTTACTATATTTATATACCGCCCGGAGTCGCCTGCGGGCTGAGAGGGGCAGTATATAAATATAGTAAATAAATAAATAAATGCCAGAAGACAGAAGTACTGATTCCGAAGTTTAAAAAAGGAGTATGAATAATAATAATAATAATAATAATAATAATAGTAATAGCCAAGACAGGACTACTGATTCTGAGGTTTAAAGGAGGATTTGCTTTCAGTTAGAGAAAAGCTCAGCCTTTTAGTCCCATTAGTATATGTGCATCACTCCTTAGTATATATTTTCATGCCCTTTAGCACAATAAACAAATATCTCAGAATGGGGTAGAGTCTCCTTTCCTGGAGATTTTTAAGCAGAGGCTGAATGGCCATCTGTCAGGAGTCCTTTGATTGTGTTTTCCTGCATGGCAGAATAGGGTTAGACTGGGGCCCCTTCCACACAGCTGAATAAAATCCCACATTAACTGCTTTGAACTGGAATATATGGCAGTGTGGGCTCAGATAACCCAGTTCAATGCGGATATTGTGGGATTTTCTGCCTTGATATTCTGGGTTATACGGTTGTGTGGAAGGGCCCCTGATGACCCTTGGGGTCTCTTCCAACTTCATGATCCTATAATCTTTATGCAAGAACATAACATATCTTGCCAAAGGTTCTACAATAGGAATGCTTTTGCAAAGGCATGGCATGTTGCTTGGTGGTGATAGCTTTTTTTGAAATGACCCTTTAGAAAGTACTCTAGATCACCGTGACAGAGCAGAGCTGGCCAGTACTTTGACCTGGTCATGTCATCTTACATGACGGTGTGATTACATCTGACTCTGAGAAAAGTTACACTGGGAAAAGGAGATAACAGCTCTCAGAATCCCACATGCGTTTGGAGGGATGGATAAAGCATATCTCGTTCCCTAAGAGCTTTGGAAATTGTTTGGAAAGATTTTGAACTCTGTTCTCTCAAATCTTTTGACCAATAATGGAACTCCTGCACCATGCTGGCTCCAAAAGTAGGATTTCCTTGGCAAGATTTCTGCAACAGATGGAGTGGAGCCAACATAAAGTGCTTTGACCATTGGACTATAACTTAGGAAACTCAAATTTGAATCTCTTCTCAATTATGGAAACCCACTGAGTGGCCTTGGGCAAGGTACACACTCTCAGTCTCCCTGGTAGGCAAAAGCAAACATGTTTTAAACAAAACTTACCAAGAAAACCTCACAATAGAATCACCTTGGAGTCACCATAAGTCACCATAAAGGAAGCCATACGTCAGCGTTGCTCAAAGTCATCCAGTGGATCTTGATGGGATTCAAATTTTGGTCTCCTGGACTTCTAATCCAACACCCAAACCACTGCAACATGCTGGCTCTTTGTTGTCGTTTCTGACTTCTTTCAACCCTAAGGCAACTGTAATAGAACAGGGTTTTCTTGACAAGATATATTCCATTGCTTCCCCCCCCCCCCCATGCCTGATTCTTTTCCATGTCTAAGTAGGCAGTGGTGTCACTTGTGGTTACAAGTTGCACCAGACGACACCAATAGGATTTAATGTATGGTCGACGGTTTTCATGGCCGGAATCACTAGGTTGTTGTAGGTTTTTTCTGGACCACTCTAACAACCACCATGCCAGACTACACAGAGAAGCCATTGAAATCCACAAGCATGTGGACAATTTCAAC